CGCCTTCTCCACATCTGGCCTTCATCTTGAGAAATGCAACAGCACATTTCTATCAGAGAATAAGCAATGGAAAGAAAATATTCAGAGTTAGATCTCAAATTGGTGAAATTACTTTTCTTTACAAGTATTAAATGGATAATTTAAAATAAAATAATAATGAATCTAATTGTTCTGTAAATTTTCAACTCACTCTGATTATTGACTCTTTGGAGGAATCTTAAAACATCCCTGTTACTTTTACTTGATTTAATTATGTTGTTATTTTGGGAAGTTTCATGTGTCCAAATGACCATTGCCTTTCTGCTTCTTGACACATTTTGAATGAAGTGAGGGCAGTGTCAGGCAGGACCATCCAGCTCTTGGGAATTACATTTCATTTTGATTTTTTCCTGCAATATCCTTAAGCCTGGAGAGTGCTTATTTTTGGCATCTACTAGTTGCCAACACTTAGACGAATATTGCTTCACTTGGTTATCTTTAAAGACAGCTGTTTTCACTTAAATATTGGCCAGTTTTAAGAAATAGTTTATTACCTAAGTGAAAAAATTATTTTTTTCACATTGAATTAGGTAAACTTTTTTTGGAATGAAAATGACCTTCCTAGCTAAGGCACTTCAAATCTACCCAAAGCTGACCTGGAAAGATGGACACCTCTGACTGCCCAGCCATTGTTGCTGATGGATATACACACCAGCATCCACATTCAACTCTACTAAGAAAGGTCACAGTGACTTGGCAAGAAGTGGGTCTGTTTGCAAATGTATGGTAGCAGCAATTATGTGTGGACAGAGGAAAAGTGTGTTTACTCTGCTCAGAGAACATTAGAGCCTGAGGAACTCTTAGAGATGATGTCATCTGGTGGTTTAAAACTACACCTTGTAGAGTCCCCCTTAAGTCAACTGCCATACCCCAGTGATCACAGCAGCTTTGGGGTTCTTTCTTTTCCTTTCTGCAGAGTCTTTGTATGGAGAAAGAGCTCCACTACCCTTAAAATATTAAAAGTAGTAATCCAGTTCCATCTTTTCATTAGGCAGGGGAAGAGATGAGAACATTTCTCCAAGGTCACAAGTGGTTTGGGGCCATACCCATGAACATGGAAGTAAACAATTGTCAACAATGGACCTGGATAGGAGCTACTAGTCTTAAGATGTCTTCCTTCTTTTTTCCTGGTGCCATGGACTTTTCCCCTGAGTAGCACTTATCTGGATCATATAAAACAGCAGGACATTGTTTTCACATATTAACTATTGAACTTCTCCTAGACAAATGTTCTTCAAGCATTGCTTAGAACTGTGGGGACCTGGAGGGCTAGAACACAGCTGATTTTTCGTACAATTTCTTTCCTAGGAGATTTTTTTTAGAGCTGATCATTTACTTTCTTCATACTGCAGTTTCTAGGCAGGTGATCCTAGAAACCCCACCCCCATTTCCACACCACCAACTCAGATGAGATTCAGACTAACTCAGCTAAAATGCTGGTTCTTCTATTTGTTAGCTGTGAAGCTTGGAACAAAGTCTTTACCTTCTCTGAGTCTCATTTTTCTCCTTTTAAAATGGCAGTAATGAGATTTATAGCATATCGTTATTTAAAAGATAAAACAATAAAATCCAAAAGAGTTTATCCAAAGTGTTATATTTTGAAACCTCTCTCATGTAGTGGCAGAAAGGTGGAAGTACAGGAACTGGATCTCACTTAATCTGGAAGCTGCAGAGTGTGGCCTGGAGACCACCTTAAAGGGTCCTCTTGGGAGCAGCTGGACCTGAAACCAAGGAGTAGGTCTAATGAGTGGTCATTTTCCAATTGGTAATTAACCTTGATGGGCTGGGCAGAAATCCTCCTTCTCTCGAAGTCTAGTATGAGCTGGTAGAAAAGAATCCAGATGAGAGAAAGGTTGAGTTAGGGCAGGAGGCAGAGGCTCGAGCAATTCTCTAAGCAGAATAGACAGGGTCATTGCCAATGATAGAAGCTACTAGAACACTGAAAAGTACCCCTGAATATACTGGAAACCTTGTAATTTCCTGAGTTTTCCACTATCTGTGTTCACTTTCCTTGCTCTCTAGAACTACTCTGGGCTCCTCCATGCAACTTTGTCTGGAGGTGCCTGTTTGCGCTATCAGATAGATTAGCAATAGGTGTGGGCTCTGCTACCTGAGAACACCCTAGACACCTGAGACAGAAAGAACTTTGTGAAGACCTGCCTATAGCATTTTGGAAATGAAAAAGCATTCAGTAAATTGTATTTTCCAGGGATCTCTAGGACCTCAGCTCTGTTAGTGCTCAGGGTGCCCTGGACATCTCAACCGACTCTGGACAGATATCTGCACTCCCTTAGCTTAGGGCTTAAGAAAGTCAGTCCTCTGTCAGCACTGAAAGTTGTCCTTACTTAAACTGCCCATCTGACTGGATTTTTCCCCTTGAAACAAACACTTCACGGTCTTAGTGTGGAGAATCCTCTAATTGAAACAACTCATCACATGGGAAAAATAGACAAATTTTTCAGTTTTTCCTTATGTGTGGTTCATAAATTGTTTCTGACTCATCTTCAGTTCTTCCTTCACCTGTGCATCTGACATTTTATTGGGCACCACAGTTTGCCTAGCACAGTGTTAGGCAATGGGAATAGGATAATGGAGATGGTTCTTTAGCTGTTTAAAGTCTTATTGAAGAGGTGTGCCCAGAAGCTATACCAGCCCACAAGAGGGGTCTCTAAACACAGTGTGTGTGTGTAGGGGTAAGGGTCAGCGGAATTTTCCAGAACCATCGGCACCTCACCTGTCCTGAAGAACAGTCTGGCTTTGTCATCAGGCTTTAGAGATAAACATGTAGGCCTGGCTTCTTGTACTTTCTAAAATTGCCTAGCAGAAACAGTTTTCCCGTCAAATCTGAGATGATTTCATCAGGAATCAGCAATGTCAGCCCAGATATATACAATCCTGTCTTTCAGCTCAGTTCCATTAGGGCCCAGTTCAAATCCTATAACTTCTGCATAGCTTCTGGCACTATGTATAACAGAACTGATACACCTCTCCTTAGGAATTTCTTGAAACCTAAAAATGACATTTTCTTATACTCATGTTACATTACCCACTATTAGACTGACTGTTACATAAGGGCAAGGACCATGTCACTTTCACTTTTGCTTCTTTTTCTAGGAGAGTGATGCAAGCCTTGCCCTAGAGCCTACTATATGTAAGTGTTTGTTGTTGCTGTAGTAGAATCAGACAGGGTACTAGATCTGGACTCTGTTGTTTACTATGTGATCTTTGGAAAATTACATTATCTCTTTGAGCCTCAGTTTCTTCATCTGTACAATGGTGATGATAATAGGGCTTATCTTATGAGGTTGACACAGTTAAATGAGGTATTGTGCTATGTGTTTAGCACAGGACCTAAACCTTAGCAAGTGCTTAATGTAGGGTTTTCTGAAAAATTAAAAATAGATATATCCCTTTATCAGATTCCATCTCTTATTTTCACTTTTCCTTCTATATGACTATTTACTGAGTAACTACCTATTTGCTGGAAAAATTAAAGTAACTTGATAGACTTTAGGGATTTTTTTATAAAACTCTTGTCATAGCTGACTTGGACTATTATAATAAAATGTTATAGACTAGGCACCTTAAACAGTAGACATTTATTTCTAACAGTTCTAGAGATTTGAAGTACAAGATCAAGATGTAGGCAGATTTGGTGTCTGGTGTCCGGTGAAGGCCCTCCTCCTGGTTTGGTATCTTCTTGTCATGTCCTCACATAGAGAGAGAGAGAGAGAGAGAGAGAGAGAGACAAAGAAAGAAAGCACACTCTGGTATCTCTTTCGTCTCTTTCTTTTCTTATAAGGGCACTAATCCCATGATGGGAGATTCACCCTAATGCTTCACCTAAACCTAACTTAATACTTAAAGCCTCCATCCACAAATACTATTCCACTGAGGATTAAAGATTCCACAAATTCATATGGGTGGGACATAAACATTCAGCCAGCAGCAACTCTCTTTCTCACACCGAGAGATAAAAGGTAGAAAAGAGGAAGAGAAAAGTTAGAAAAGAAAGACAGGACTTAGGGAAGCAGAGAAATCACTACTTTTTTCTCTCATCTTCTCACTTATGACAGCCTCCTGCCAGCTCCTAACCTTAGATATCTGGGACCTCAGGCTGCAGCCGGGAGCACAGGGTCCTCCTATAATGAAAGTGTTGCACCCTGCATGATCTCTGCCAACTGAAGCCTCTGTGGGGAGAGCAACACCCAAGGGAGAAGGGCTGAGACACCCAGGGTGTTGTGAGGACACTGAGAGAAGAAGCTGAAGCTCAGTGGAGAGCGGGGAGCAAGCATCCTTACCACTTGGAGCAGATTCGTCCCTACCCTGAATGCAGGTGCCATCTTCTTCTCTCAGGTCCCAAGACAGGAGGGACCTGAGAGAAGGCGATAGGACCCATATTCAGCCCAGCTTGTAATGCCTCACCCTTATATGAAAGTGCATGATTTTAGGGCACAGAAAATCCTGGCTCCTCTACTGACTGGATAGACTGTGCGACTTTGGGAAAGTTATTTAGCCAACCACTTTGAGTATCAATTTCTACATTTGCAACATGGAGAGAAGGATATGTACCTCAGTCATTTATGAGGATAAACAATAGAGTTTTAAAAGCCGGGTATACTGCCTTTCACACAGGAGGCACTAAGTAATTTTGAGAAGAAGGAGAAGAAAAAGAAAATCCCATTCTTGATTATAATACATTTCTAATAATGAAAAGCATATTTTAATGAAATAGGTAGTAATTATTTTAAAGTATTTTTTGAACTTCTCTGTTAAATTCAAATTTGAATTGTCTTGGATGTATTTATTTAAGCTGATCTTCTATTTAAGTCATGTATGTAAAAACATTATGTTTAGACATTATAAACATAAATTAAACTTACAGCCTTGCATCTTTGCAAGCATAAGTAGATAATGTATAAGACATATATCAAATTAGCCCACTATCTTCTGTTTAATGTTTAGAGAGTATTGATACCTCCCAGAAGCAAGAGCTATGGCGAGAGAAGTGGGAGAGGAACAATTTGCCAAGCAGAAGCCTCTCTCGGCGTTCCATCAGCAAGGAGAGATGGGTGGAGACTCTGGTGGTGGCTGACACGAAGATGATTGAGTATCATGGGAGTGAGAACGTGGAATCCTATATCCTCACTATCATGAACATGGTATGCCAAGATGCATGGGGAAGGGGCAACTGGTGAATAGGTGTCATTAGAACCACTCCTTCAACCAAAAAATAAAGAAATAAAGAAATAAATAAGAAAGCCGGGCTCGGTGGCTCAGCCTGTAATCCTGCGCCTTTGGGAGGCTGAGGTGAGTGGATTGCCTGAGCCCACAGGTTCAAGACCCGCCTGGGCAGTGAGACCTCATCTCTACAATAAATCAAAAAATCAGCCAGGCGTGGTAGCACATGCCTGTAGTTCTGGCTACTTGGAAGGCTGAGGCGGAAGGATCGCTGGAGCCCAGCAGGTCGAGGCTGCGGTGGCCGGGAGCGACCACTGCACTCCAGTCTGGGTGACAGAGTGAGACTCCAACTCAAAAAAAAAAAACAAAAAAATAATTAAAAAAAAAATAAAGAAATAAGGAAGGCCCTTTTCTGTCCTTTTAATTATATATGTGTGTGTGTATGTTATGTGTATATATATGTATGTGTATATATGAGTATATATATGTGCATGTGTGTGTGTATATATGTCTATTCCTTCCCTAAGGATAAATAAGGATAGAAATTCAAGACAACTTAGTCTTTTTTTAAAAAATGTGTATCCTGGGAAAAAATTATAACTTGTCATTCACATATTGCTACTTGGTATTTACTGAGTGACTCAATCCTTTTAGTTTCACTTTGTCTCATCAGCTTATGTTAGTGAACAAATGAATAAGCTGAGACAAAGAATTATAATTTCTTCAAAGTAGACTTAGAATTGGAATAAAGTAAATGATGCCTAATTTCAAGCTTCCCCGTTGCATTATTGATATTTTCTGCCTTTCCAGAGAGGGTGTTAGTCCTGTAGAGATGGGGAAGGGTATTTGCCTGAGTAGCTGAAAATAAGAAGAGAGGACTACCATAGACTAAGGAAATAGTCAAAGAAAATAAAGGCATTAATTCCTCAGGCACACTGCCAATCAATCACTCTGAAAGACCATAATATAAATTAGGCCATGGGTGTGTTTCACTATTCTTAGCACACCACCAAAAATTCCTGACCTATATATCAGGAATTTTTTATTTTAAGCTCATTACAATGCTATTTTTCCCCTCTGGCATTGTTTATAATCTATTCATGTGGCACTAATAGTTTTCTATTTCTGACTCTAGGTCACTGGGCTGTTTCATAACCCAAGCATTGGCAATGCAATTCACATTATTGTGGTTCGGCTCATTCTACTTGAAGAAGAAGAGGTAAAGAAGTTTCCCCTTCACTCTTCTTCCCTGTATCCTTGGACTTCCTATCTTCTTTCTTCAGGAGAGCTCCTGGTAGACAAGAAAGAGGACACCAGAAAAGTGTTTGGAAGCCCACTGAAAAGGAAAATATCATTTACTTGTGTGTTTTTCTCTTGACCCTTCAGCAGTATTGAGTGGAAGACGGAGAACATTTCCAAAATATATGTAGGTGATAGTCATTGCATCTTATAAAACACAAATCAGGCTTACATAGTCACTAAGAATGTCCTGCAAAAGAAGTTAAATCATGATAGGGTTAGATGGTTTTGATAAAAGCTAGGAGAGACTTGGAAATGTTGAATTTTCTGTACTTAATCTACCTCTTGCATATTAATCTACCTCTTGCATATTTAACACAATTGTCTTAGATTTGGACTATCTTTCCTATCTGCATTTTTACCTTGAAGGATTTCCTCTGTTATCAGAGACTTATATGTCATCTACATGCTGAGACTTCCAGTTGATACCTCAAGCCCAGACTTTAGCTTGAGCTTCAGACTCATATTATCCATTTGCTTACTGGATGTGTCATAGAGTCCATTCAATCTTAGAAAATTAATAAGTCCAAAATGATGGGAATTCTTGATTACTTCCTGCCTAAATCATCTCATTTCTATCTCCCTGCCCCCCATTCCTAAATCACTGTCTTATCCATCTCAGTGAATAATGCCACTATGCACTGGTTGCATAAGCCCTAGGAGTTGTCCTTGATTCCTTGTTTCTTATCTTCCAATCCAATAAGGCCCACAGTGGTCCTGCTTCCAAAACACATCTCTAAATCATCTACTTTTCATCATCTTTACAGTCATCACATTGGTTTGGCCTTATCACTTCTTGCTTGGGCTACTGCAGTAAACTTCCAAATGGTTTTCATATGTTCAGTCATACCCTCTTCATCTATTTTCCTTGGATAGTCATTTTAAATACAGCCGTAATTGATCATTTTAAGTACAAATTGATACTTCACTGCATAAAACCCTTTCATGGATTTCTGATTCCTTTAGAAAAATTCCAAATTTCTTACTGTGACCTGCAGAGACTTTCATGATCTTGCCTCCATCCACCTTGCCAGTTTTTCTTACGTTATCTTTCTCACTTGTTTTCTACTCTTATATTTGCTGGACTTCAGAAAGTGTTCTGAATCATGGAAAGAAGTTTTCAGCCTCAGAGTCTGCACACTTGTAACTCCCAATGCCTGAACCATCCCTTTCATAGTTCTGCTCATGGTTGACACCTTATCATCCCTCAGGCCTCTGTTTAAAAGGTTCCTCTTCAGAGACCTGTCTACTCAAACTTGGCTCTCCTCATTGGTCGTCATCACAGGTCGATAGCATTCTCACAATTTATTATTCTGTGTATTTGCTTACTGTTTTCTTGCTTATCTCATCCTTTCCAGGATGTGAATTCCATAGCAGAAGCCATGTTTCTTTACTCTGTTATAACCTCAACACCTAAAACAATGCCTGAGACATGAATGACTAAATAAATAAGTACATGAAGTGAAATTTAATGAATGAAGGAACCAGCCAATCTGATGAACACTCTCCAAACTATAGAGCTTGACCAGCAGCTGGGGTATGAAAGAAGGGCATCATTCAACTCTCCATTAGCAAGAGACCTGCAGTCAAGATGCCAAGGCAGTGTTTATTGTTTTCTTGACAAGAAAAGTCCATGATCAGTTAGAAGATTATTTTAAAAATGATCTCTGGATCCTAGATCCATTTTTCTTCTCTCCCCTATTAGCCCCATTTTCCTTCACCCAGACATACTTTGGATATTGCAGAATATCAATGAGAAGGTTATTACTTTTCCTGGGATCCTTTTATTAAGAAAATGTATCAAAAACTTGTAAACCAAAAGCAAAATGAAAACTGTGTCTCTTTCAGTGTTTAACATGATCTCTCTGACTCCATGGAAATGTCACTGATTATTATTTACTATTATTTGGGGCCCAGATATGATGACGTTTGTTCTTGACATGTAGAAAACTAATAGGGTACAAATAGTTTTTGCCTAGTAGAGGTGAAAATGATTTGTGTCAGCAGAGAAGATAACCCTAAAGATTATGGCTTTATTGGTCTGTAAAAATAGACCAATAAAAATTGGTATCTAATTTAACAATCTAATTCCAGAAGCTTTTCCCCTTACTGGCTATAGTTGTATTACATTTTGCATCTGCCTTTGAACCAGCTTTGCAATCTTGCCTGTTTTTTCATTACTCAGTTAAATTATCTTGCCTGTCTCCTTGCCCATGAGTTAAATACATCTTTGACATGTACTCATCATATATTTGTATGAGAATCATGTTTTTAACTTTTTGGAAATTATACCTTGATAACTTGAAGGAAAAAAATTACTTTTTCATTATGGTTGAGCACATATTGTATGCTTAGATAGAAATATGCAGAAATATTTAGAGTTTTCAGACCAAAAAAAAAAAAAAAAAAGGAAAGATTCTTCTGGGTGTAAGAAGGAAAAATATTCACCCTCTGTAGTCTCAGCAACACTACTGGTAAGACTTCACAATGAGGCTTCCATGAATCAGAACCCTTAGAAATCCGTATCTCTTCATTCCCAGGAAAAAAAAAATGCCACCAGGCATCTCCATAGCATCTTGCTGCCAGTGAAGTTGTTTTGAAGAATCTGATTGGCTACTGCCCTCCCCTGCCCCCCACCCCACTCCATCTCAATTACATTGTTTTTCTTCTTTCTAATCTGGTTTTGCAAGTGCAAAAAGACACTAGTGATTTGCTTCAGAAACCCATGACTCTCTACTTTATACTTGCCAAACATTATCCTAATGCAAGCTTTTATAGAATATCTAATTCGTACAGAGTTCACAAGTTAACAACAGAATTGCAATTCACAATTCTCATTTTCCCAATTCTCAGAAAATGGTTCAAGCTATTCTTCATATCTTTGACTAATGAATAATCCTAGTAACAATACACAGCAATTATTCCAGCCTTTAACTAACATCAGGGTGGCAGACACAGGAAACAGAGTGTGTTGTACCTCTGTGTGATGTCTTCGAGTAAGTTAACCTGAGTTTTCAGTTTGATTCTGTCATCACCCAGCAGGCAACTCTGAGGAAGTCATACTATTGCTCCACAACCATTTTTCTTTATCCGTAGATAAAAAGAGAGTTGTGATGTATCGGCCATATGTCAAAATCTGTGCTAGCCACTGGGGATGCAAATGTGAATACAAGTCCCATCTCATCATTCTGAAGAATTTAGAGTACTGCACAAAAGAACAGAACTGGGCTCGGTGGCTCAGCCTGTAATCCCACGCCTTTGGGAGGCTGAGGTGAGCGGATTGCCTAAACCCGTGGGTTCGAGACCCGCCTGAGCAGCAAGACCTCATCTCTACAATAAATAAAAAAATCAGCCGGGCGTGGTAGCACATGCCTGTAATTCCGGCTACTCGGAAGGCTGAGGCGGAAGGATCGCCGGAGCCCGGCAGGTCGAGGCTGCGGTGGCCGGGAGCGGCCACTGCACTCCAGTCTGGGCGACAGAGTGAGACTCCAACTCAAAAAAAAAAAAAAAAAAATGCAAATTTAGATTGTCATGATTATAAAAATGCTGGGGTAGGGATGCATATTTGGGTGTCTAAGCTGGGTTTTAGAGAATAAGAAGAAATTAACTAGTGAGGAAGGACATTCTAAGTAGGAGAAATGCATGGGCAATGGCATTAGTACATAAACTAACACTATCCATATAAGGGGCAGTGGACACCTCACTGATATTGAACCACACAATGAGAAGCGGAGGTATTTTATTGTGGTAGAAAGAAAAGTATTATCATACTGGAGGCAAGGAAAAATAGCCAGTCAAAACCTGCCTGCCTCCACTCACACCTGGGTTTATGCCAGTGTTGCCCCTCTCTGTGCAGGGCATCATCACCCTTCCAGTTGTAGAAGTCAGAAGTCTGAAAGGCATCTATGACCCCTCTTTCTCTCCCTCTCATGTCAGGTTTATCATCAGGTATCGATAATTTTATCTGACCATCTCCATTTCTATCACTTCAACTCAAGCTACAGTTACCTCTTTTCTGAACTTTGGTTGTAATATGCTTTCTGGTCTATTGCGAACCAATTTAATTCCTTTCTATCGTGTTTCCTTACTGCAGCCAGGATGATCTGAAAATGGTAATCTAATTGCATCTACCCTCATGTCACCCCTTCTCCAACCCTGTCCCCTGGCTTAAAGCAGTCCAGTGGTTTTCTGATTCTCTCCTTCATCTCTTGCCATTCCCCTTTGCTTTCAGGATGTAGCAATAGTCTTCTATTCATCATGTTTTCTCAAGACCCTCCACTGGTCTTGTTGTTGCCTGGACTATCTTTCTTCTTGTCTCCACCTAGTTAACACCTTAATCCCTCAGATTGTGGCTCCATTGTTGTCACTTCCTTGGGGAAATTTACCTGACCTCTATGCCCAGTAAGGTTCTATTTTCCACTCCCATAACACTGTTCATTTCTCCTCCATAGCTCGCTTCACAGTTATAATTTTGCATTTATCTGATGGACGCAGTTTACTCCTTTAGTATGTAAGAAAAGAGCAGAGGTAAGGTCTAGTATTGCTCAGCACTTATCTTTACTGGTACATAATAGACTCTCAATAAATATTTGTTCAAATGCTAAATAAGAGAATGTGTGTGTGAAGGAGGCCAGCAGTCCATCAGTGAAGGTGAGGGCAACAGCAGCCAAATTCTGACGGGCCTTGTAGCCTCTTAAGGGCTTTTGGTCTAAACCTGTGGGAGACTCTGGATGATTCCAAACCAACAAGTGAAATTAGAGAGACCACTCAGGCTCTGTGAAAAGGGTGTGAGGTTGGGAATACTGAGGCAGAGTCCCTGAGGTAGGTGCCTTTTATTAGTGGCTTTCTATGACTCTTGTCTTCTTTGTTCTAAACACATCTGACAGCTAACCCCATTTGGGGCTTTTTTTTTCCTGTGGT